ATCAACATTACTGAACTTACACTTCATTACTTGATGGCCATCAAGCAGCTGCTTTACTGAATAAAAGCTCCAAAGCAGGCAAGTCAAGGTTATTGACTTCTCCCAACATGAAGTGCTAGAACCATTTCCCCTCTCCTACTGACACTCATCGGAGCGTTTTACACAGAGACAGTTGAATAATGTCAATAAAAAACAAGGATGTCACCATTTGTTTCTGGCACGGTACAAATGTGGCTTAGAGTGGATACTGTAGTTCTGCCCACTGCAAAACAAAAGGCTGCATATGTTTGCACAGTGATACACAATCACAATCTTTGCTTTGCTAAAGTCTGCAAACTTAGTTTTTCAACTTTAGACTCTTATTAAAGGTTTCAGATGTACAGTAATGTTTCATAATTGCCAGAAAAGCTGATGCAAGCATGGAAACGAGTGCTAAAGCACAGAGTCATTCACAGCCAAAAGAACAAGCTGGATCTCAGTGGACTGTTGGACTCTTTAGTAGTAAACAACCAAAGCTTCTATTTTCTAGAAGAATCAGGTTTTGTTTGTGGTTTATATGACAAGACCACGATTTTATTGTAAGTTACTGTAATATCCTAGTACAAACACTGTAATGAAAATTTTGGAGAAATCCAGTTAATGCACATCCCAAGATCTTTGAGGTGCATGAATAATAATAATAATAATAATAATAATAATAATAATAATAATAATAATAATAATAATAATAATAATAATGTATAAGCTGGGAAAAATACATGGATGTGGTTCTGCTACGCTAACATCATTAAAATCCATCATGTGTGTTCACTGTTAACTTATCATTTCATATCACTGTGTAGTTTATAGAGGGAAGCCCACAAATTTGTGCTCAGAGATGTAATGAAGCACATTGTTATGTTTGTTGTAAACCCAACACATACTGACTAACAGACTCTGGATGTTCTCTTATGATCATACTAGTCTGTGACTGTGAGCTTGCATGTGCTTTCAGTTTCTATCTGCTCTGCAGTTCTGTGTGGAGTACAGATGTACTGGGACTGTTTGTCTGTGTTCAACTACCATCAGTAGACTGCAAATAGAGTACAAATAAATTCTAAAGAGGCTTCAGTGCCATCTTGTCTTTTGCTTAAAGATTTTAGTTTAATTACATGTTTGAAGAGACTGTGGCCGTGCAGGCTACAAGCTGAATGTTCCCGCTTCCCACAGTGCTCATTATGTGAAACGCTGCCCGTATCCGTTCTTTCTTCCATGGTGGTGAAGTGTTCACTTCCTCTGCACAGAGCTTGCGATTTGCTTGCTCCTTTTATCAGCAGTTTTGGGGAAACCCGACCAAAAGCATCTTTGTGGCACACAGTAAATGATCTGGCTCGCAGATGTTCGGATTGTCCTCGTTAATCTCCTTATGAAGATGCTTTACTGCTTTTTGGTTAAACTCACAGAAAGACAGCGAGACAGCTTCCTCCATACCCGACCCAAGAGAGGATAGATATGAAGACAGAGAAAAACTGGGGCCCACCTTTTGTAGCTCTGTTGTTTTCCTGTTCAGTTTTCACTGATTTGATCCAAGTGACCTCAGAATCGACTGCAGGCAACTCCCCAGCAATTCATTCCAAAGCAAATACGCAGAAAATATTATCTGCCAGTAGTAGGGAAGCTGAAAACAGTGCTCATTTGGGATTAAAGTAATAGATGGAGGACAGAAATATTATACACATTTTATTTATCTCAGTGTCCTCTTTCAGGATCTCCTGCTACAGTTTAATACACCATTGCAGGACTCCCACATTTGCACCTGGATGCTGGTGAGCACAGCCACAGCCTCCCAGTGTTGGGGATCATGATGTATGAATCTGCACATAAGACAGCCAAAGTTTGAAGTCTTCTTCATGCAAGAAGCCTCTCCACAAATGTCGGTATTTCCAGTGTTTTTAGCTGTCCTTTGGAAAAAGATGAATGTGTCCATGGGCTTTGAAAGCAAAGCAGCGATCTGGGATTTGAACAAAGTTGAAAAATTCATTTCTTGTGAGCGAAGAAGACCTTCAGGGAAAAGTGTTTATCAAAACCACAAAAGACAGACATGTGGAACATTATTGCATTGTTTGTGTCTCATTTATCTGGACATATGGAGGAAGACGGTCACATGACATGCTGCTGAGTTACATATATTTTTACCATTTTTAGTCACTTGTGTTTTTAATTTCAACATGAATTTGGAGCATTTCTTATATTTGAAGCAGTTTGGCCTGATCTCCCGTGAATTGTTTCCATACAGCTAAACCTGATTCTGAATTATGTTTCACAAAAACGTAGCTAGCAGTTAAAAAGACGGATGATGTCTGCTTAGGTGGTGAAGGATATCACAAGCTTCTCACAGAGGACGCTAAGGTTCAGTTCTGGTGCAAAATCACAATTTCTTCCAAGCCAAGATCTTTTTTTTGGGTCTCCTGCTCGACGAGTGTTACCCCAAATAAAATGTACATAATTACGTTTTTAAAAGAACGATCGGTATGAAAGATATTACTAGCCATTTTTATAAAATCACAGCAAAGCATGTAATAGAAACACCAGTCCATGGTGTCAGTTTCACACTTTGCCTCTCCAAAGCTTCAAATAGACATGTTTCAGTTGTGGTACCAGCAAGGGGAGATAATATATTCAAAGCAGTCACCGAGGAAGACGTGATGTATAGTGATGTACCAAGTACCACTGGTTTCCTTTCCAATCTGATACCAAGTAAAATTCAGGGTGGTATCAACAATACTGCTCCAATACCGATACTTTGTACAAAACCTTAATGTGTTATTGTATTTCAAATGACAGCTTCAGAATGATTACAGGACATCAGACTACTTGTTCGTACTGTTTAATATTGAAGAATTATCATATAGTAATAAAAAACCTGAATTTTTAATTGACGCTGTTTGAACACGTATATCTTGTCATTTAACATGCATATAACTTGCCTGGACATTTCAACAAAAACATTCAACATTCACAGTAGTGCTGTGCCACACTACAAATTTTAGTATTGATCCAATACCAAGTAAATACAGGGCCACTATTGCTGATATCAGTACCAATAATTTTAAGTTATTCAGGAAGCTAATTGGGGGAGAGTAGCGTGCCATAACTTATCAATTTACAAATTCTGAACACATTTCAGGGGAATAATGGAGTTTGATATAATCTTTATTTCACCAGGAAGTGAAACACCTGAGAATTAAACATTTTTAGCACTACTATGGAGTGGCTCATACTGATAGTGGTTTACATGTGAGAGACAGACAGCCTCGTCAGTATTGGGTGGTGGTCTTAATTAAAGGGTCCTCCCGTGTAATGAAGGGAAGACTTCACCTGCTAGGCAGCCTGTATAGGCAGGTTTTCTCTCACGATGTCTCAGGCACCCAGCTTTGTTTTATTCCTACTTTGGTTTGATTGTGTTATAGTCATCTGTAACTGAAGTCACATCCTGATAGCATGTAGTTTTTATTTCCTAGTAAATTTGCTGAGAAACTGTTGTTGTGTGGATCTCCCTTCTTTGGCCCTGAATGAGCCCGCCATAACATCAAACTGGAGGAGACACAAGTCCCTTGTTGTTTTAGGAAGATCATACACCATAATAATCTGCTCACACAGATATGCAGAGCCGCTTGGTACCCCTGCTATGCCCCCTATGAATAATGGAGCTCGAGTATCCTAGTAGCACAAAGCAGGACCCTGCCCGGGTCTGGATCAGAACATGCTTGTCTGGTTGCTGCTTAGCAAACTCTGCAGTAAGATTTTTAATCCTGCTTCTTTCATCACACGTGTCCTTCTGGGGAAATTAAGCTAATGTGCAAGTACCGTAAGCTTTGTTTCTGAGGGCCTACAGTGGGTGAGGTGTGAGAAAATGGCCTTACTGCTCAGTAGATCTAAGAACTCAATAAACATTTTCCTGATAAGTTTAAAGTTGCTAGTTTGAATCTATCCATCCATTCTCTTCTGCTAATCCTTATCAGGGTAAAAAAAACAGACAGACAGCTGGTCACACTCACATTCACACCTATGGACAATTTTGAATCATTGGTTGACCTTACCCCACTGATTGTCTCTGGACTGTGTGAGGAATAAAAAACGAGTTTAAAGTTCCCATGCTAATTAAAATGAGGGGAAAGCAGGACGCTCTCTGGGTCAGGCTTGCCCGTCTGATTGATGAGTAACAACATAGAGCGTGACATGTTGTTTCTCAGTCATGTTCGGCATCTGGTTTAAAAAAAGTTCAGGGGGTGGAAGCCAGAGTTGAGAATTCACCCCACTACTCGCTTAATTTATGACCTCAGTGAACATTTTCCTTTTGTGTTCCTGGTTTCAAATGATCGCTGCAGGTCACCGTGGCTACATCTGTCTTTTTTATAGTCTGTGACTTTGTGCATCATTAGCTGAGTGGGCACTGACTAACAGGCTGTCATCGTGTCTGCAGCCTAAAACTTTTAAATGCTTCTGTGTGACAGACGCCTCAGAAACTGGCAAATATGTTAACTCTTCACTACATAGAGAACAGAGGACAGCTACAGCAAACAAGGAAATGAACCCCTGTGTCTGTAATATTTTATTGCCATCAGATGAACTGTCATTGTGGCAGATTAGCTCTTTTTCAACCAAGACTTAAACACTTAAAAGTTCAGGTCTACAGTTTTCACTCAGTGTCTCCAGGCAGGTTTTACTCCAGCTGCTGGTGGGATAATAATTCAGTGAGGGTGAAGGAATATTTCAAAAGGGGCAGGATGACAACTATACATGTATGCACGTGTTGCCCCACACAGATAAAGACGTGTGTGCCTAAAATAGCAAGCTGGGCTGTTCCACACGTGTAGAGCACTCTGTGAGGAGATCCCAGGGAGGCGAGCGTCACAATTCAGCTTACACAAAGAAAAAAAGAGGCGAGAAGATGAAAGAGACTAGTGAGGGACGCGGCAAGCATGAGAGCATGACATGGCTGAACCACAGGAGGAGGAGGCTGTGATTAATGACATTCAAGCTGTGAAGGTGTCTCAGTGCAGAGCCAGCCTCCCCGTTGTATCCTCCTCCTCCTCTCGCAGTCACTTCTCTCCATCTGTTTTGATGCAGCTCATAACAGATCGTCACATTATCCTCCCTCCGTCTTGAAACCGCAGCAGCCTTGGGATTAAACCCAGCACCACACTCCTCTCAGTGCTGCACCTGGGAGGCAGCTGTACACAGCGCGTTACCTGACTGGACATTTGAAACAAACCCTCGGAGCCCATTCTTCGTCTTCTTAGGTGCTCACTGGAAACACTTAGGTTAGGTTTTGATTCAGCAGGAGCCTCTGCTCTGCTGCTTCAGCTCCTCCAGCTGCTGCGAGGAACTTTACGAGGAGCCAAGGTGCTTTTGCTCCTTTGATTTCTCACCTGGATGCTGAGGAGATCAACAGGATGGACCTCACCTACATTTGTCTCCTCTTCACGGCTCTAATGTTGATCCAGCACAGCGAAGGTAAACCCGTTTTTATATCTGTCCAATTAGATGTTTGTTGCTAGATGGGTGGGATGTAAGGACTCTGTTTACATGGTATAATTTACATGATCCTCTTAAAAGACAATGCATCACTAAGCAAATTAAGGAATATGTTATTCTTTGAGATCTAAGTATTTCTCCAGATGCTGATTAATTTTTATTCCCCTTTCAGGACTCAGTTTGATTTTATTAGCCAGTGAGTTAATAAACAGGTTTGTGGACTACCATGGCAACTTGTTAATTTTGGAGCCCTGAAATTAATAAAAGGTAGAAAAGAGTTATCAAGCTTACAAAAATAATAAACAAAAGTGGTTAAATAAAAAATAATGACCTTTTTCTGTATCTCTTACATAAATACTGCTCATTTTTAATACCGTCACAGCTTCTGCAAATCAAGTATCAAAAATCGATTAGGAATATTTAAACAGTGTTTGAGATGTCAATAAATTATGAATTTATTCATTTTCATGAAGGAAAAATCCACAGCACTACACGTTATTTTTCATGACATGAAAGCACTGCAATCTCAATGTTTTAATGTTCATATTATTCATATTTTAATTGAAAGCAGAAACAACATCAGGACTGTGAGGCTGTATAATGAGATCTGCAGCTAGGCGCTCTGCTCTCTGGTTTCCACAGTCGAGCTCATCGTGACATTTTATTATTCAAAAAGCAATCAGAGGTCACGTAGCGTGTAAGGACTCCCTCTGTTGTCGCTTTCTAGCTCTTGGATGATGAAGTTTTACAGTGTCAGTGTCACGGCACCCTGTGACCTGCTGCGCGTGAATATATAATCATACCCTTGCTCTTTCAGCAAATTCCTGTGTTGAAGGTCCTACGAACAGATAGCTGTGGAGGGCCGTCTCACACTTCAAACATGATAGAGGTCAAATTTAAAAGGAATATGTCTAATTCAGGCTAAAAATGTCAAAAGTGTGTTTATACTTCTCTCACTCTTCAATGTTGATGAAACTGGAACTAAAAGTAACTTTCCAACGTCACCATCTTCCAACACAGGATTGCTTTGTGTTTTAAAACGGCTGGTCTGGTTATAGTAAAACACCGCCAAATGTGATCTTTTCTGGGACCAAAACACCAATGAGAATAATACTGGAATAAACTGTAGGTTCAAAATACGAAACCCCAGTGAGCAGCATCACGATGGTTTCACCTTTCTTTGCATATTGTCGACTTGCTTCAGGTCTTTGAAGTTGCCGGGCTTTCATTCATGCACAGCACTCTTAAGGACCCACCACAGCATTAGAGTCAGGTTGCGGTCTGGACTTTGGATCATTGCAGACCTTGGGTCATTGCATTACCTCAGTACTTTTCTTTTTCAGCCATTCTGTTGGAGATTTGCTGCTGTGCTTGGGATCACTGTCTGTTTTAGGCCAAGCTTTAGTCCAAACTTTAGGCCTCACACTGACTCTAGAATACATTGCTATGTAGGTAAGTTCACAGTGGATTCAATGACTGCAAAGTGCCTGTTGCTGCAAATCAAGATCAAACTGTCACCCTTCTACCACCATGCTTCACAGTTAGTGCTCTCCAAGCAAAGTACTTTCTTTGACAGAAGAGGCTTTCTCCTGGGAACCCTTATAAATAAGCCATACCTGTTCACTCTTTCTCAGTTCAGAGAGCTGTTCACTTGGTACACTTAGTACAGATCACCCTCTAATTGGAAGGTTAGTGGTTCGATCCCTGTCTGCTCGAGTCTGCATGCCAAATATCTTTGGGTATGATAATAACCCCAGGTTTCCTGCACTGGAGTTTGAATGATAGATAGGTAGACAGATAGATAGATAGCACGTAGTTAGGGAATACATAGAAGATGTTTTCATGTGAATGAGGCAAGCCATATAAAGTGCTCTGAGTAGAGGAGTGCTGTATAAGACACCAATATTAAATAAATTCTAACAACAGCTGATCAAGCTTAAATGTGCAGCTGTTCTTTAGCGTGACATCCGCTGGTTTCCTCTTTCTGGCGCAAAGTGGGCGATAAACAAACGAGAGAGAAAAGCTGATCAGCTGATCATTGATCAGTTTCATGATCATGTTCATTGAAGTAGAAACAGGAGAGGGAGGGCAAAGAATGAGCGAAGAAGAGGCAGCTGTGCAGCATAAAGACAGAATAACTCCTGCTTTGTGTCTTTTTCCATCCTAGCTGAAGTACGGGACAAACTGTGCTCCTTTTCAGCTCAATACCAAACGCGTAATATTTTCTCTGAATACGGGATGATTCCGGTTTTTACAGGACGGTTGACAACTCTACTAACTAACCTTATGAATAAAATAAAGTTCACTATCAGTAACATCATACCCACCCAGCTGTATAGAAACTCCGTCATGCTAGCTAGTACGCAGTAAGAGAAAGTCAGCATACCAAAAATAAACTACACCTAAACTTGGTTCATATCTGACCCAGATAGACTGCAGGTCATAACTTCTTACCTGAAGTTCAGTTCACCTGACACTCGGACCGGCGGCCGCCTCAGGTCTCTCCTCCTCCTGCCTCCCCTTTCTCTCATCCTCCTTCTGTCCTCCACCACTTGCTAATGTTACTGAATCTGTGGAAGCTCCGCGATAGCCACCACCAAACAACTGAGTTATTTTTACACACCAGCCAGCATCTGGCCAATCCACCACCTTTCATTGTTTATACCGTTACCAAAAAAAAAAAAAATCATTGGCCCATAAAAATGAAAAATCACCATAGACGGGTAAGATGGGACGATTTAGTCTGTGAAGCTGAGTTTGAGCCACACAGAAATCCAACCATGAACACAAAACGACCTCTTGTAGCCTCCAGCTAACATACCTGAGGGCTGCTGAGGAAATAAGTCTTACAGCTGTACATGCTAAGGACTGTGCGGTAAAACCCTTTTCATTGAAAATTAATTCTTTTTCAAATGACTGATGAGTCAAGTAAAACTGTGGATTTAATGAAAGCTGGTATAATCTGGTCTTTAGCTGAGTTTGGGTAACAATGCCTGGTTTAGGTGTTCTTCAGACTGTTAGCACATTCAATCCCCAGATATCTTTGTGAAGCAGCTAATAAAAATGTTTTCAGAAACCTTGATGGTAAGGCCCTCACAGAAGGAAGAAGTAATTTTAAAAAATACAAAAGGACATTATTTCACATTAGCCCGAGGTATAGTTTGAGCCTGCCAGGAACTTTAAAAATCGAAGCAGGCTGGGATATTTAACTTTTTGAATAGGTTTACCTGCAGAACTGGATTGTGGATCTTTCATTTCTAAAACCAGGGCTGTGTTGTGTTTTCATACTCCTAAATTTCCTGCACAAGTCTAAACCAGGCTTTCTATTATAGAAGAGTCATTTACAAAGAAAGCTTTGTAGGCTTGATAAAGGTGCCTACATAGTGAATAAAAATTCATTAATTATTTTAATATACAAATATTGAATTGAAACACTGGGAAAAAAATCATGGTTTGTCAAACAGACTCATTTCATGGTGCAGGCGATGAAGGACAAACACATTATCGGGTGTTTTAAAGAGTTATTTGTGATTTGAACTCATTTAAACTTTTGAAACACCAAAGACATAAAGTGGAATAACCAGTCTAGGTAGCAGCAGACCAGTGACCCCGCTGTTCTCAAAGATAACATTCCTGGTTTGGTCTTTAGGTTTGTTGGCTTGAACCACACGCAGTGCATACAATGGCTTACAGAGCCGATCTTCTCAAAAGAATTTACAAGCATAACAAATTTAAATCATACTTTATGCTCATTCTTGCATGATGAATTTATATTTGTGATAATAAAAATGTTGTCACATGTACAGTACGTGTCAAAGAAGCCTGACACCAAGTCTAATTTAGCATGCCACAGGCCAGCCAGCTGAAGTACAGCTGGGCACATTTATGTGTAATCCTGGTAAGAACAGGATTTGGTGCAGCATTACAGTATGACCCTCTTGGTGTTGCTGAATGAAAACCCACATCCTCAGGTAGATCTTAAAGGTTAAGGGACGGGGTGGCTACTTGCAGTTGCAAGTTTTCTTTTACATTTACACACCACAAGCTAGAGCTAACCGTTGTAATCATTTCGAGCAGTGTGCAGTTAAAAGGAAAATATAAATGGAAGTTGGCTGAACATCTTCTCTATGAAACAAGAATTACTGAGGTTTGTCATAAAGTGTGAGCACATTCTGAGAAACACCAGCGTTCTTCCTGTTTCTACATCAGTTGAAATCGTCATTATGAAATAGTACTTGTGGTTTCGGGTGTCCTGACCAACACTCAATCTACTCATTTCCTCTTGTTCAGCAGTGTGCATGCTCATTACTGTCACAGGGTACTACTTATGACTGAGGTGAGGCGAGGAGCTGCCTTTTCCATGAAATATTTAGCATACTGAATTACTGGGTACATGCTACCTCCATCATCTTAAACAAATATAGTTTGGGTAGAGTCTTTGTTAGCGTGAGGACCTCAGAGAATTTTTAAAGCACCTTTCTGTCAACATGTTGTCCCTACTCTTTCTCTACTTTTCTGGCTGCCGCTGTCTTTTTTTCCACTTACCAAACTGTCTACCGTTTTTCTTGCCATTTTTCTGTCTCCTCTATCTCCACCTTCCCGTTGGTCTTAATCTGTGCTGCGTGTTTTGTATTTGTCTATCACAGCCAGACATCTGAGCCTTATTAGGGATTGCTGGAGAAAGCAGTACTTTGAAATCACAAGACAACACCACAGCCTTTGTCTTCGAGCACTGAGGACACTAAATAAAACCTAACAGCCTGTATAACAACAGAAACAGCCTGAGCTGGTTGAAAATGTGCAGATGGGTGGTAATTTGAAAGAAAAACTACAACCCTGACCCTTACAGTTTGAGCCCTACACTTCTGTTCCTGTCCATTTTTCCTTATAGTGAGACTGGTCACTGCAAATCAATGCAAAGTAATAACTCATATCACCTTTCTCTCCTGGGATAATGATGCCCCAGTCCACTAAATGAT